TCCACAGTTCCAACAACCTTTCTGGGTAGCAGCCTTTCCTGCTATGGCATCTTCCTTGTTTTGAAGTTGCCGGTATGGAGCTCTCTTGTGCCCAGGTTTGTTACAGTGCCAGCAAAGTCCCTCAAACTTCTCTGAAAGCTGACCTTTTCCTGGCCTTGAATTCTGATGACTGTACCAACCTTAGTACTTCTGTGCTTGGTACTAATGTATTTAGTTCACTTTGAAATTTACTAATCTTTTCCATTTGTGTATGCTGGTTTTCTCTCAACTGTTGGAAACTTTCTTCTTGTTCATTTTCTTTCTCCTCCAACCACTGCTGTAGCCTTTCTGCTTGTTTTTTTTCTTTCTCTTACAACCACTGCTGTAGTCTCTCTTCTTATTTATTTTCTCGTGCTTCTCGTTTCTTTTATTTTTCCTCCAACAACTGCTGTAATCTCTCTTCTTGTTTATTCTGCTGTTCGAGCTGCCACTGTTGCAGGTTTTCTTGCCACTTCTGCAATCTCTCTTCTTGTTTCTTTTCTTTTTCCTCCAACAACTGCTGTGATCTCTCTTCTTGTTTATTTTCTCGTTCTTCTTGTTTCTTTTGCTGTTCTTGTCTTGCTGCCATCAAATCTGCTAAGTTGTAGTTTGATTTGTCAATTCTCGTTTCCATCATTTTTTTTTTCGTCCCACTCTCTGACACCAATTTGTTGGGTATATGCTCGTTTGTTAATTTCCGGTATGAATTCTTTCCAAGGAACTTCAGCAATATAAGTTCTTTCTTAATTAAAACTAGTTTATTCTTTCTTGATACAACTTTGTAAGACACAGAATTTCCGTCGTCACTTTAAACTTGACTACTTTTATGAACACACACTATAAATCACAGTGATTCACACACACATTACTTTGCTTGAGTCAATTATATCTCTCTATATATATCTATCTATCTATGCAACTTTCTCTCCGCTTTATTTGCCGGGCTTATATACTAAAAAAGAGGGCGCCTGGAACAGACTAGAGTTGCCAGGAAAAGTCATGATCCTTCTAGAATATCATCACGTGTTACCAGCGTCACGTGACTTCCGCTGTCGTAACAGTAGCAATAAAGTACTCAATTGTAATAATGATAACAATCGTAGAGGTAATAGCAGAAACTTTAGCTGTTAAAGTAATATTATGAAAGCAGTGTACGCAAAACTAGTAGTAACACAGGTTACCACAACGTTTATGTGTATTACTAACAAAATAATACATCAATGCTAACATGAATAACATTAACGGTTGAATGAAAATTCTTTTCTCAACAACAATATACGTGCACTTACGCATACGCGTTTATTATTATTGTTAAAGGTGTGGAACAATAAATATTACACTTCAGATTCTGTGAATTTAAGTCACTTCCTGTACTGTGCGCATACATTAACACCAAAAGAAAGTAGTCCAGAAGAAAATGAACAATGTTGCTTTTTAATGCTCTGTCACTATGATTACGTGCTCAGTTATAATTTTAATTTGTTGAGACATCGGTTAAGCCTACCTTTCTGGTGACATTGCTATGGTGCTTTTGTATTCGGCTGTTTCATACATTCCATAAATATTTTCATATTCTAGATCACTCAGGCAACTGGACGGCTGTATAATGACGTCAGATAGGTGAGAATGAGGGAAATATAACATGTTAAAAGTTTTAACGTTTACAATTTGCACTGTTTGGTAATTAACATAAGTGTACAACGTAAATATTGTTCCTTGAAATGTACTGCGACATTATGATATGTTCAAAATAAAAGAAACGAGCCATAATTAAACTCAATTGATAAGATTCTAAACAATATTTTTTAAAAATGTCAAATACTTATAACTATAATTACAATTCCACAGTTGGTGTTTGGACTGAGACTGGTGAAATTATTTATTGTATTACTCACCTTTTTATTCTTGCATAAAGGTTGGTTTCGTTTGAATTTCGCGAAAACTACAAGAGGGCTATATGTGCTAGCCGTCCCTAATTTAGCAGTGAAATACTAGAGGGAAGGCAGCTAGTTATCACCACCCACCGCCAACTCTTGGGCTACTCTTTTACCAACGAATAGTGGGATTGATCGTCACTTATAACGTCCCTACGTCTGAAAGGGCGAGCATGTTTTGGTGGGACGGGGATTCCAACCCGCGACTCCCAGATTGCGAGTCGAGCGCCCTAACTATAAAGGTTGGTAAATCATATTATATATATGAACATATAAAACGATAACAATATAGCGCTTTTCAGAGTTCTACCTGCCTTGTACAAAGAATATATGTATGTCCTGGTTTTAAATTTCCGGTTGTTGCCAAACAAGCTATCTTTTAGAATCGATCGAAACAGTTTCTCTTATGGTGTTGTAATTCAAAATATATTATTTACAGAGAGCAAACATTTTGATCTTCATTTCGTAAATGTTAACACATTTTAAGATTTACATTTTTGATCTAGCTTATGAACTACATTTTTATCTTCAATATAATACCTGTTTTAGTAAGTTTTTGTATAAACACTTTTTAGTTTAAGTGAGATGGCCAATACTGGCGGATTCCTGTTGGTTGAGTAAATAAAAACATTTTGGTTGAAACTAATCTAAGTCTGTGACGTTTATATGTATATCTAGAAAATATAATATTTATAACACACAAACTGTGACTTAGGTCGTGAAGAATAAACATATGTCAGCTTCAATCAAGTAATAACCAAAAATATTGACCAATTTCAACCGAGATATAGGAGCGGGGCCCAATGATGAACAAAAAAAAAAAGAAGAGCTTACTCATTTACAAGGTGAGGCCTAAAGTTAATGTTAAAAAAGATGATAATAATTTTTACTTTTATAAAAATGATGTCGTTTGTTGGAAACCAGATCATAATCAAATGATATCAGGAGTGGGGGGGGGGGAGGTAAGGCAAAATAGAACAGAACTTACCGAGTACTTTCCGGGACGAAAACACAGCTGTGACGTAGGAAAATTTAACCCAACGTTATTCATCTAGAAAGGAAGAAACACATTAGATACTTCCCAAGATTAAAATTTACTGAGAAATGTTAGTAATTTATTATACTGTTGATTTAAAATTTTTAGATATCAGAACGACCCGAAAACATAAATAACAGGATTAATTACACTTTCTTTGAACAATGCGAGCCGTGTTGTTAGGGCTAACATGTTTAGCTTCTTTATATTTGGTGCAGGTGAAATTTCAACTATTTGACAGTGTAACGCCACCAGGATAAACTTTATTTGGTTGGTTGTGCGCTAGCAATTATAGACTAGAGGGAAGGCAGCTAGTAAACACCACCACCGCCAACTCTTGGGCTACTTTTTTTACCAACGAATAATGGGATTGACTGTCACATTATAACGTCCCCACGGCTGAAAGGGCAAGCATGTTTGGTGGGACGGGGATTCTAACCCGCGATCCTCAAATTGCGAGTCAAGCGTCCTAACCACCAGACGATGCCAGGCCGGAATAAACGTATGGCTTGGGGTGTATGTCCTTTACGAGGAAAGATATTTGTATAAAAAGACTTCTAAAAGAAGTAGTGCGAGAAAGACAACATTTTCAAAGACGGGAGTTTCCTATGTTTTCCATTCGAAAACTAAAGCGCTTAATTCGACAGCAAGCTCCAAAACTATATCAAGGCAGTGCCTTTATCTGCAAAGTGAAGGCTATAATTGCAAAATATAACAAGAAAGTTATTGTACTGAAGCAGATTATATGTCCTGGTACCGTTGAGAAGATAATAAACAATGGTTTCAAGTCGAAGAAAGTTTACAATCGAGACTTTCACAAGTTTGCAATCACACATCGAAGTCAACGGCCGCTTTCATGACGAAGATGGCAGGATGAACTGGAATCATAGTGATTCCACCCGACAATATACCTATCAGTTGGTTATTCCAGTAATTCCACACGACCATATACTTATTAAATGGAACCACAGCAATTCCGCCAACCATATATCTATCAACTGGAATTCCAATAATTCCATCAGACCATATACCTATTAAATGGAACCACAGCGAATCCAGCAGATCATACATCTATCATCTGGAATCACAACAATGGCATCAGACCATATATCTATCAACTGGAATCCCAGTAATTCCACTAGACCGTGTATCTATCAACTGGAATCTCAGTAGTTCCATCAGACCATATACCTATTAATAGAACCACAGCAATTTCGTCAGACCATATGCCTATTAAATGGAAACACAGCAATTCCAGAAGATCATACATCTATCATCTGTAATCCTAGTAATTCCATAAGACCATATACTAATTAAATGGAACCACAACAATGCCATCAGACCATATGCATATTACCTGAAATACCAGTAATTCCATCAGACCATATGCATATTACCTGAAATACCAGTAACTCCATCCGATTACATACACGTTGATTGTGATCACAGCAATTCCATCATATAATATACTTAACAATTCTTCCGATGACATTCCAAAAGACTTTTATACGTCTGGTCTGTTTCATTGTGGTTTTGAAAGTCGATATTCATGCACAGAGTTTAACTGTATTTTTGTTTGAAATTATGCACAAAGCTACACAATGGGCTATTTGTGGTCTGCTCACCATGGGTATCGAAACCCGGTTTCTAGCGTTGTAGGTCCGCAGACATATCGCTGTGCCACTGGGAGGGAGAGTTCAACTGTTTTTTTTGTTTGAAGTTATGCACAAAGCTACACAATGGGCTATCTGTGATCTGCCCACCACGGGTATCGAAACCCGGTTTCTAGCATTGTAGGTCCGCAGACATACCGCTGTACCACTGGGGGGAGATTTCAACTGACAATGGATGAAGCGACTGTTTCAAGGGCAGAACGGAACCTGGAACATATTTCTTATAAAATGCGATTAACCCTAACACATGCATACATAAATTGTTAACATTGCTTTCATTACACTTTCGTTTTTAATACACCATTAGCTTGTTTGTAGTTAAGCACAAAGCTACACAATATGCTATCTATACCCTCTACAGACATCGCAACTTGGTTTATAGCCTTATAAGTCCGCAGACTTCTTGCCGTTGTGCCACTGGAGGGGGGTGTATAAATCTTTAGTTAAGAAACATTTTGAAAAACAAAGACCAACGTCTAAAATACACTAACTTGTAAAGATGTACAACAATCGGTAATGTTGATTACATAAAATGCATTGCAATAAAGATTTCAAGTTTATGTATGAGATTTCTGGGCATGTTTAATTTGACTTATTTTTTCTTTTCTTTTCTACACAAGTGTTCGCAACATAGAAATGCAGCAGTAACTGTGTTACCAAAATGTCATTGATGGTTAGGGAGTTTCCAAATAATTTTTTTTGCGTTTTTTTGAATATAATCAGAACCGATCTTTTTCTTTTTTTGAAACATAAGTAAATTATACCTCGTGCTTGAACCTTTCCAAATGGACAGATCACAGCTCAGCGACTAACATGACAGACTATGTCCGGTGTCTTAAAGCATTTTATCCTACATATCTGGTTTCGATACCTGCGGTGAGTAGAGTACAAACAGCCCATTGTGTAGCTTTGTGCTTTACAATAAATATACCATAATGAAAATCGTACTCCGTATTTCGGGACTGTACTTGCGTTACACTATTTGATTAGAGCAGCCCAAGAGTTGGCGGTGAGTGGTGTTGACTAGCTGCCTTCCCTCAAATCTGTGACTTCAAAATGTCTGCTAACGCAAATAGCCCTCGAGTAGCTATGCGCAGAAATCAACAAACAAAACCTTTTCAATTGTTAGATTATGTTATGCACAACCAGTATAAACAAGTAATTTATAATCACACATATTATATTAATTATTTTAGCAACAGCTCATTAGCAGAATGAACATTTAGTGCAAGCACACAAGTTATATAATTTTGATTATTATGAGTTGTTCAATCTTATTTTGCTATTACAACTTAAAAGGAAAAAAAAATCACTGAGTCTTTCATGACTCTTGTGGAGCTAGGCTTTTGCGTTTTCAGTTATAAGCTGGAAAGAGCAGCTGGTTTTCAAAGCATTATGAAATTTTTAACTTACACAACGATATTTTAACTTCTGTGTCTGTTTTCCCATTCTGAAAAAATCGATAAAGCACGGCACCAAGTAGTACATGATATGCCTTCGCTCTACAGAGTGTTTCTACCTACCTTAATTTTTCATCTCGCCAAAATGGAATCTTTAACTTAATATAGTTTTTATAGAGTGGCTCTGTTTTGTATAGTTAGTGACATTAAGTCAAAATTACATCGCTTTTAAGAAAAAAATACTTGTTTTAGCATGTAGTTGCCAACATTGTATTCCGTTTTTTAATAAGAATTACCATTACATTTCATCTCTAGTCTCTGTTAATCCAGTTTTTTTAATTTAGAAGAAGCATTTTCTGGAATCATAAAAAAAGTGTTGGGTTTAAATTACTAGAAAATTAACTTCTCAGTGGCTGAGCGGTAAGCTTAAGGACTTACACGTTAAAAGTCGGGTTTTCGATACCAGTTATGGGCACAGCACTGATAGCCCTTTGTCTAGCTTTGCGCTTAAACACAAACAAACAAACAAACTGGGAGCTTCTATGCATTACTTAATTATCAACACCCAAGCTTACTTTCTCTTTTTAATAAGTTCAGTGAAACAAAGGGTAAGTGTCTCCTATATTTCTAATATAAAACATTTTTGTTTAACCATAAACCTCCATACAATGGTGGAAATAAAAATTATGTTGACGTAACGTGTTTTGTGTGTGTGTAACCTCCATACAATGGTGGAAATAAAAATTATGTTGACGTAACGGTTTTGTATGTGTGTGTGTGTAACCTCCATACAATGGTGGAAATAAAAATTATGTTGACGTAACGTGTTTTGTATGTGTGTGTGTGTAACCTCCATACAATGGTGGAAATAAAAATTATGTTGACGTATAGTGCTTTTTTGTTTTGTGTGTGTACGTGGAATATTTTACATATAAGCTGCTTCTACTATGTGTGGGCTAACTGGATGATGTTTTACTTAATGAATAATGTTTAATGTCAGAATTTTCAGTTAAGTCATCTCTGATATATATATATCCTGTACAATTTTTACTAATATATATATATATATAATAATAATTAGACTCACCGTGAGTGGAGGTTTGTCAATAGCGATACGCCGACGTCTCAGTTCCTCCAGACGTTCCATCACATCTTGATAATAAGTTCTTAATTCTTCAGAATACCGTCTGGCGAGCTTTTCCAATTGGCCACGTGACCCATCCTATATTTAAAAAATAAAATGCCTGTTCATTTGTTGTTGTCAAAATACTAGATTATCGATCATTCAACATATTTGTCACTCTTTATTTTATATCTTAGATATGAAAACGGTTCACACACACACACATTATTCGAAAAGTTCAAAAAAGTAAAGACATTTGAAAACGTATAATCGCTAGTTAAACGTCACCCTAGGAGAAAAAACAGTGCCGGCCTTGAGCATCAGCAAGACAATCGACTGCTTCGTGCTTCCAAAAATCTCTTAGGCTTCATAAAACTGTCATCTATACTGGTGGGTTAAAAATATTCAAATGAAAATATATTCATGGTCCCTTTCTGCAGTGGGTCAGTGGTCAGCTTACAATGTTAAAATCCGGGGCTCGATTCCCCTGTGGTGAACAGAACGCAAACAACTCATTATGAATATTTGCGTTAAAACAACAACATATATTTGTTATTTATATCTCACACAATAAGCTTGTTTGTTTTTAGAGCAGAGCCACATTGAATTATCTGCTGTGTCCACCACTGGGAATCGAACCCCGGATTTTAGTGTTATAAGTCCGTAAAGGTACCATTGTTCCACCGAGAAACTATATTTCACACAACAGTGCAACAAAATACGATTTTAAAATCCCTTAAAATGAAAATATGTATCTTATCCGAAACTTCATAAAAAAAAAGGGATAAGTACCTCTAAACCCCTCGCTCACGTTACCCTTCGGTGCTTTAATCCTCGCTGTTGCTAGTACCAATACTGTGGCTTGGTTTGGTTTTATTACGAATTTCGCGCAAAGCTACACGAAGGCTATCCGCGCTAGC